TTTTTCATTTTTTTTGTATATAAAAAAGAAGAACTTCACTTTTTTAAAAATCTAATTCATGGCATTATAACTGTTTTATATTGCACAAAAGACATTTTTGGGTTCTCTCCACTTCTGTCTCTTTGGTTGTTCTGTTTCCATAGAAGTGCAGGACTTTATACGAGCCTACGGAGCCTTTCTTCACTGGACAACTGAACCAGCACCACGCTTTCACCACTCGCTACTGGTTTGAGAGTCATGATTCTGCAATGCTTTCGTGGATAAATGCTTTATTATATTCTCAGGTTTAGACTGTAACTGTCTGACAGTGAGTTTTTGCTTAAAAGCTGCTAAAAACGTCTCTTTGTAAGCAGCGAACCAAAGACGTACAGAAGCAGGAAGGAAATCTAAAGCAACAAAAGTAAAACAAAGCAGAAGAGAGGAGCAATCGGCGTCATCATCTTATCTGTTATTTCCTTAAAAATCACAATTAAAACTCCTCTAAGAAAGCCGGTGAACCTTTCTGTCTTGTTTTACTGATATTTAATGTCACAAATATGCTGCAGACTCCGATTCATTCCAGTGCTTTTGTGAAGTGGGTACCGTGGTGGCACATTTTCCACAAGTTTTTAAGCAACTGTCTATTTAGCCTGGAGTTACTTTTGTTTAGTCCTCATTGTGTTTTTTTTCTTTAAGCTCCGTTTTGTTTTGTTCTGGCCCCGAACAGAGCAGCATTAATTAATGCATTAGTTTCAGGCCATATGTTCATCTAACTTAATAGGAAGTTGATTGCAGCGGAGTTAAAAGCTCATTTAAACGTTCATAAAATATGAACACTGGCACATATGGAAGCTGGCTTGTCGGCGCTCACGTCATTAAATCCCAGCAGCAGCAACAGGATGGATCGACGCGTACGTGCAGCACATGTCCGATCGGGTGCCGCCGCTTGTTTGTCTCAATCAGCGTGTTCTTGTTCTTGGATTCATAATGAGCCCATAAACTATCTTAATGCACTCCGGAGGATATTTCCTCTGACACGCTGTGCGATCCGTCAGCAGACATGTGACGGACTGACGGGCGTCTGGCAGCTCGGCTCGTTCTCAATCACACACCTGAACGAGTCCTGTCATCTGCGCGGCGTTATTCTGCTTCGTTACGATTTAGGTCTTGTTTTCTAATGACGTCGGACAAACCTGATTGAAGTTAATAGCTGCAATATGGCTGTGTTGCTTTCCCAGTTATGTTTAGATGAATCCCAACTAGCTTCTTTCACTAGTTTACCCAGGGTGGACTCATGGTTTCCTGCAATATAAACATCTATACAGTGCTTAACACATTTATTAGACCACCTGTCTAGTTTGTTAAGCTCCTAGTTTTGCAGGTATGATCTGAAAACAAAGCTCAGAACGTTTGACTTGAGGTGACGCTAGATGACAGCAGGAGGTTCTCCAAAGACGTTAGATCAGCATGTCAGACATCGGATCCAAATTTCATGATAATTCATCCAGAAGTTGTTGAGATGTTGGATCAAAGTTGTGGACAAACAGCAACCGAACATGCCGCTGTGTTGTATTCTATTGTGTTGCTTTTATTGCTATCATGAGTGAGTCCCTAATTTTACATAAGAAAAGGAGCAGCTAATGAATGAAGAACAGATAACTTTCTAGATAAAGCGGGAATTACTGAGGAAAATGTCAGAAAAGAATTTGCTGTAACTGGATGAAACTTTAATTCGAGAGATAGACGGGGAGTAAAGATGGACAGAAGGATAAAAGAGATGTGATTAAAGAAGGACTGCTGTGACAGATATACAGTACTGTGTGTTGAAAATGAGCACGAGGCAGTTTTCTGTCCTAATGTACTTACAGCAAATACAAACAGAGATACCAGACACGAAGGGGGGAAATGGGAAAGTAAGAAGATGAGCGGAGGAAATGAGGAATACATGGAGGGTGGAGGTGGTGTCGAGGGGTTACAAGTCATTTTGTAGCAGGAAATCACGGAGCGATAACAGAACAGGAGGAGGACGGAAAAAACAAACAAAAGAAAAGAAATCGAAAGTGTGCAGAAGAAGATACTGCACAGCAAAAAAAAAAGTATTTTTTAACAGGTTTTAAATATAATTTTGGAAAATTTACTGTTGATAAAGATAATTAATAGTAAAATAAATAAATTTACTCATTAATGGTTAACTGTGAATAATATCCACATCAAAAATCTGAACTTTTCCAAATTCATTTTTTCTGTTCAACCATAAAATTACACAAAAGCATAATTATTTTGCAAATATTTGCCATTATTTGAAAGGAATATTATCTATATTAAGCATTGAAAAGAATGAGGGTATTTTTTAAACTGCTATTTTACAGATTTTTACTGTTTACTTAAATTACAGATAATAACAAGTAAAATGGAAATTAAGAAGGTATTATTTTGCATATTTACTGTGAGAACAAACAAATGCAAGAAAATGTATTTTTACATAGTAATTTCTTATTTTACAACTTGTGGCTATAAAAGTATGCAGTTTTACTGTGTTTAAATCAGCCAAAAATATTATGCTGCAGATATTTGTTGTTATTTTCACAGTTTTTGAATGTTGCAGTACTTTGTTGTTTAACACATTTTTTCTGGCACCCTTGCTGCCAGATTTTTACTGTTCTTTAATGGAGAGATGTTTTTTTACAGCATGACTAAATGGAATTAGGGTGCAGCAGAATGACAGATAAACAGATGTTATATATAAATTCATTTAAAAAAAACTGTATTTTGTCAATTTATCAGTGCCTATAGATATTTTACACTATTGTAACATTTTTATTTTGATCACGTTTGTGATCTTTCAAAGGTTTCTCTCATTTACACATCTGTGTAAAATTACAGAATCGATACGTTTTTTTCTGTTAATTGTTACTAAAACTGACAAAATACAGTTTTTTATTTTTTTCTCTCGTATATGTGTATCTCTGTTTAATGCTGCTACCAACAACGTGAATTTCTCCACTGTGAGATAAATAAAGGCATATCTTATCTTATTTAACTGTTTTTAACCATAAATAAAAGGAAAAATGCAAAATATTCATATTTTACCAGCCTTGTTATGTTAAAAAATTATCTTCACAGTTAAAGGTTTTAAAATGTTATTACAAATGTTAGATTTAGTCTGTTCTTGTAGTTTTATTGTTATTGTTATTGTCATGTCGTGATAATGTGTCAGTGGGAGTTCACAGCTCGTTTCTGCTGCCGCTAAGTGGCCAAAAGAGTCACTGCAGGTTAAATTAGTGGGAAAAAAACAAAACCTCAGCTTATCGTTTCTTTGTACATTAATCATCAATTTATAATCGCTTGCTTAGTTTACTAATTTTCAGAGAAAGAACACGTATTTATTAGTAACTTTCTTTTGTCATAGGAGTCATGACAGGTTGACTTTGGTAAGTCAGACTCGTGTCCGTAATGTATTTTCATGCACATTTTGACGCATCATCATCAGTAAAACTTCAACAACAAAAAAACTGCGAGAAAAAAGTTCCCTTGAGGTCATTTTTGACTTTTTTTTTTAACAAAAAGAGTTGATGCGACCAAGTTCTGACCCAGTGAGCATTGAACTAACATGACTGATCAGCTGCTTCTGTCGTCTTTGTCTCCAAACATCCTGAAACGAGGCCAAGGCCAGCTGACAGGACACAATAATGACGACTTTAACGACTAAAACTTCTCTCATAAAAGTTTTGTTTGTGTCTTTATCTTCAACAATGGGTTTTGTTTCTGTTTTTTCCTAAATCTTTGTTACAGCGCCACCTTCTGGTGACACTTGCATATTCGCTCCAATGATAAACCTAATTTGCTTTTTTTTTTATTTTTTTTAAAGTTTGCTTCAAATTTACCTAATAGGTATATGAACATACATCTAATTCTTTCTGCAAACAACAAAGACTTCAGTTCAAAGGCAGGCGTCACTTCACAGCCAAAATGTGAAATACGAACAGCAAATACGTCTTGAAATGTTTTAGTTTGATGCTAACTAGTAAGACCTTCACACAAGTCAACAGCTGCTGCAAAACAATCCAGTAAAGGACGAGCGAAGACGGGAAAAGAGAGGACAGACGCAGATATGACAGAAGCGGGGAGGCAAGAGCTGGGTGGAGGTGAAAGATAACGGTGGCACTGAGAGATTAAACTAGACGGAGCTCAACTGAGCCCAGATAAGGAAAGAAGCGAGAGGGAAGAACATTTAAGGAGTCCGAAGACAAGAGAGTTTGGCTTTGGGGTAAGAAAGGGGATAGAATAAAAGAGCTGGTGGAGAGTGGAAGGGCCTGATTAAAAAGGCTGTTCCTGAGGTTTATGCGAGCATAAATAAAACAGCTAATGCACGACTCGTGGCTCGCAGCGTGGACACTATCTGCTCTTAATAACAGGCTTTTCATTGCAGAATTCATTCCCATCGTCTCGGCTGAAGGACGCGGCCTCTCTCCCCCTCATGCATTATAAATACCCCATTAGAACCTGTTGACTCGCGCTCTGGGGCCCGGTGGCATGTTGACGGACCACTCTGCAGACAAAACCCTATCAGCGGCACCATCATTAGGAGCGCCAATGCACAGACGGCCCGCTCTGATCGGGTTATTTCGGCGCATCACGCGGCCCGAGGCCTCTGACTGAACCCCGGCGCCGTCCTTTGCGACCCACCGGGTTAAGCTAATAGGCTAATCTAATGCTGCTGAAGTCGCGCACGGATCCCGCCGCTGCCGGCTCCGTCTGCGTTAATGTTATTCTTCCAGCTCGTGCTGCAGCCGGAGCGTACCAGGAAGTGGCGGGCGCGGGCAGGCCTCTGATTGGAGGCCTCTGGAGAGGAGGCGAACGCCAGCTGGCAGCGAGCGGCGGCCAGGCAGCCAGGCTCAGTCGCACAGATCTGAGCGACAATACAATGCTGGCACACACAGGCTGCTCGCTCTCATTAGGGATGTGTGCGTCTGTGTGTGTGTGTGTGTGTTTGTGCTATTTTAGACCTGACAGTCGCTTACTTTGAGCAGATCTTTGGGAAAATCTTGGCCCTCGTTCAGTCCCTCCAAGTTGCCGATGAACTGCGTGCATGACATCCTCTTGCCGATGTTCTGGAGGGAACATAAATTCAACGTTACTTCATACTAACACAGATTCCTCGTGATTCTTTACCTAACTAAACCCAAATTAACAGATTTGAAAGGCTTGTAATTGTTCAAAAATGGCCAAAATGGCGCCATTTGTCAGAAGCAGAAACTGTGAAAGCACAATTTTAGCTTCTGACACTCCTTAAACTGACAGTATGTGACTTTAATCTTAAATTTATAATATTTTATCATAATAGCTTAGTTCTACATGTCTCCTTTAAAAAAAAAATCACCAAAAACCAACAGTTTACATTAAATTCTGTGAAATCAAGAAGTTATGAGTGACTCCTGACAGAATGGCAAAACAATGACAAACCCTGTCAGTATTTGTTATGTCGGTACTTTTATCAGCGCTCATTATCCGAACCCAAAAACAGGGTTGAAAGGCATGTTATCTTTACAACATGGCCAAAATGACCCCATTTATTTTGGCTACAAACTGTGAAAACAGAAACAATTGTGATATTTTAGCACTTTTAGCTCCTTGAACTAAAAATCTGTCATGTTTTCTCTTAAAAATCGAACAAATCTAAGCTTAAATTTGTAATATTTCATCAAAAGACTTTATTCTACATGTCTCATATTTGAAAAAAATGACCAAAAATAAATGATTTACTTCAGATTCTGTGATATCAAGACAACATGAGTGACTCTGGTTAAGATTCCCGACAGAACAGCGTGACATGTCCTATCAGTGTTTGTTCTTCTACTCATTCCTCATACGCTTCATCTATCTAAACCCAGAAACCAGTCTTGAACGACACGTTATCTTTAAAAAAGTTACACTATTTATCAGAGCTAAAAACGGAAATAAATCATCACATTTTCAAGTTCTGACAGTCCTTGAACTAATAAATCAATCAAATGTAAGCTTAAATAAGTACTATTTCATCAAAATAACTTTATTCTACATGTTACTTTTTTTAAATTACCAAAAGTAAACAGTTTGCATCACATTCTGTAAAATCAAGAAGCCATGAGTGACTCAGGTTAAGATTCCCGACAGAAACACTGTCAGTATTTGTTATATCGGTACTTTAACTCAGTGGTCATGCTCCTTAACTATCTGAAGTCGAAAAAACAGGCTTGAAAGACATGTTTTCTTTTTAAAAAATACAAATATACAGTATTTAACAGAGCAAAAAACTGTGAAAACACAAATAAATCAGCACATTTTCAAGCTCTGACAGTCCTTGAACTAACACTCTGATGTTTTTTCAGTAAAATCAGTCAAATCTAAGCTTAAATTTGTAATATTTCATCAAACACATACATTCTACACTTCTAAACATAAACCATTTGCAACAGATTCTGTAAAACCAAAAACCCACGAGTGACTCAGGTTAAGTTTCTCGATTGAATTACACAACATACGACAAACATGTGAACTACATTCCTGATGCGGTCCAGTTGTTGGAAAGAAGAACCGTCCGTGTTTCCTGTTCCCGAAGAGTTAAGGGGGAACAAAATGTCATTTGTCCTCGAGTTAAGTGAACAGTTAACCCCAACTGTTCTCTCTATTTTTAAACACACTTTATTATAAGCTAAAAATATTTTAAAAATTAATCACAGCCCTGTCTGGTAGGATTTAAAAAGAGGCAGATGACGATGATTAATATTAAACGCTGTCACTGGAGTATTTCAGTTTTTTAATGTGTCGTTGGACAGAAAAGCTGCTGACAGTTATTATAATCCTGATCCTTTAACACGAGGGGACATAATGAAGGACGTTTTAATTCATCAACTTGTATTATTTGATCAGATAGTTGCTGATTCAAGTCAAAATACTCAATTTTACACTATTTTTAAGGTAAAATTCTTGGAAAGCTGCTTAAGTTCAGACAACACTTAATACTTAAGAACTCTTCTTTTAACAT